GCGCGTGCACGCGCACACCGTGCGCATGCGCAAGGACGCCACCGAACCAGTTGGAACGGGGCGAGAAACCCACCCCTGCCAAAGGGACATAACAAAAACAGGTACCATGGTCTATAACTGTTGTATTACAGATACTTACAACTTGCTCTAATGTTTATCATTTCCAAATCAAGAATACTGAATGATTCTAAATTTCATACAGTCATAAAACATTTTTTTCTTTTCTATTTTTCATAGACTTCATAAAATCATTTTTCTCCCACCTTTTTAAAAGTTCAACCTTCTTCTCTGAATTTTCTGTAAGTTCCTATTGTAGTTATACCTATCCTTCACTATTAGAGAGTTCAGTCCCATCTAAAGAACAAATTCCCGCCATGCTTCTAATTTTTTTTTTTTTTTTTAGCCAGCAAATTCTATCTTCTAGAATATTGGCAGGACAATATTGACTTTGTGTCAAGCAAAAGAAACCAGAACCACTTGTGAAGAGTTTCAACAGCAGTTTCATTGCTAGTCATCTATGTTAACAAGAATTGCACTCCCTTGGGAAATGCAAGATAAGGCTTCAAAGATTCTGGGGTGGTAAGGCCTGTGCTGTTTCCTGCGCTAAAATGACTTCAAACCTGAGCCCCTCGTAACATCTCCAGTCTAACTGGATATTCCACCACACTTTGATATTTAGTGTTCTAATAGCAAGAAGACAGTAATAAGGCAGTAGCTGCTTTTGGTAGCCGATAACAATATTTCTCATATCACATATTTAGATTTGTCCAGCCTTTCTATTTTGGCTGGTGCAAATCTCCTAAACTGGGAACATGGGGAAAACACAGATTGAGGCAGCTTGAGATTCAAATTTTCTTTTACTCTACTACCAAAGTATTGAATGTTTTCAACAACAACATAATCCACGCCCTTTATGAAGAGGCTGGTAGCAAGGCTGTAGCACAAGAATCCCCCATCTTCCCCACCTTAAATTTTCAATAAAAGAGAGCAGAAGTAGCTCAGGCTTAACTGTGGAGTTCTTGCTGCTCTCTGAGCTTGTTTGCTTGTTTACTTTATATGTTTTTTTTTATCTAACTAGTGCAGGTTTGTTGCTGATGTTGTTACCTAGTTGGGTTATAAAATGTCTGCAAGCAAAAATCCAAAGCTAAGGAAATGTTATATATATACCTCCTCAGTAGATTGCTTCTCTGGGTAACAAAAGATGAATTCCATCTATTTTCTCAGCATGAGGTCAAATTTTTAGGAGGCAGTATTGTGCCATAGCAGAATAAAAGATCTGCCATATAATTCTGGCCTTAAATCTAATTATTAGGGGGTTAGTGTAGCTTTATGAATATACTTGTGTTGGTGACCTATAAACAACTTTAAGTTAATGTCCAATTGCTAAGCTCTTTCTTCTTGGGGATCTTATTTTTCTTGTGTATCATTTGGAACCAGAGAAATCGATAAGCATTTAAATCTTATTCAAAAGGGAGCAATATTCCAGAAATTATGCTATAAAACTACACAATTAGGCTAGGGCTTTGATTTATTTAGCTTCTGATGGAACTTGCTTTCAAATAAAGTTAGTTTCTTAGAAGCAGCTCTCTTTGAGCCTATCTGTTGAAATTCCATGTCAATTACATCTTGTTAATATTAAATGTTTAAAGACATGGAGTGGTGCCTAGAATTCAAGGAGTCCCTAGATGCATATAAAATACAGGAGGAGAGGACAACAGTTAGATCTGGAGTTAATGTCATCATTTATCTTGTTCTGCAATAAGAGTATAAATCAAATCAAATGTTACAGCTGGCTGAAAGCTTTTGAATATAGGAAAATATGTTATCACATGCCAGGAGGCTCACAAATATTTTATCAGCTAGCTCTCTTAAATGCTTTCCCTGTTAAAACAGCCAACCTGATTGGTATTTTTGTGCAGCTGCAGAACAAGAATAGTGGGAGATTAGTCACCCAATTGTCCTTCAGAATAAATTGCCACATAATTTATCTTTGAAACAAATTACAGCAACTCATGGACTATCACAATTTATCCAGACAGGGAAAGACAAACTGAGAGAGAGGAAACAGAGTAGAGTTTTCCGTCTGTGCATTGTGTGTGTATTCTGAACATTGAAAGCTACCCCAAATTTAATAACTCTTTTTAATTGTTGACAAGGGAAATATTCTGAAGAGCATGTAATTTTTTTCCGGAAGGAAGTTATGAATCTGAAGCTTATAAGTAAGGACTGAATTCCTTGCTGTGGTAGATAGTTTTGCCTCTGATGACAAAAGCAGGTATTATAATTCTTTTCTAATTTATTAACTGCATTGGCTTCCAAAGGGAAGGGCTGGGCTGTAGGCTGGGCAAACACTGCTTATAAAATTTCCAGGCCTACTTTTCTCTGCAGTAATCATCAGTTAGAGTGTATCTAATATAACACGTCTTTTTATTCTCACAGTGTTTTCTTTGAAAATATAGTGATGGCAAAATGGTAGCAGTCACTGCGAAGTTTAAAAATAATATTTAAAAGAAACTGGAACATTGTGATGCCCTTTTAAAATAATGTTATGTGAAAGAAGCTAGCAGGTAGTTCAAACTCTTAGAATTCCCAGTCAGCATATTTAACATAGGAGGTTAAAAAAAGCTGGAAGTCAGATCTATCTGTAAAATGTAATCATAGTTGTATTTTCTCCAAATATATTTTCCCAGCAGTTGCAGAATATCTAATACTGCAAGGTATAGATCCATAGTTTAATAACAGAGGTCATTTTACATATAGACAGTCCATGTTCAGTTTCCAACATTTCCAAATAGGTCTGTCAAATCACTGAACAATGATTCCTGATTTATAAAGTAGTAATCCACACTCATTGCCATATGGCATTAATTTTAATTGTAACACCCTATGGTAGATTTCCATTGGTTCTATTTCAGATATAGGACATTTACAGGAAGATATCTACCTAAGCTGGAAATTCAGCTCAAAACATTCTAGCTCTAAATCAATGCTGTGCCACCCTGATTTAAACTACTGTACTATTTATTATACAGGAGTATTTTTTTTTAACATAGCTCAAATTTTCTGAGAAATCACCTGAATCACCAAACATGGCAAACTGGGAGAAAAATATGGCAAACTGGGAGAAAAAAACAGCAACAAACGGGGAAAATGGAGCTTGCGGAGGCAGCAATCCCTGCAACCTAAAACAGCTGAAAATGAAACTTGCTGTTTGCTGCAAGAGGCAAATTGCTGGGAGGCAGAGGCAGATTTTGTGCTAATCAGGCTGTTTGCTGTAAGGAGGTAAGTCAACTATAAATGCCTATAGAATGTTCAAATTATTAGACTTAATTTTTAAAGACTGCTTTATTGTTGTTGTAGACAACTTAACAAAATGAAGAAACTTTTTAAAAAATAAGCTTGATCTGCAGAGGCCCAGTGCTATTGTATCTTCTTTTAAATAGCAGAGAATAACTATACTTCCAGAAAGCCGCATCAATTTTAACAAGTATAGTCTGAAATGTAACACCACAAACAGTGTATATTGTCTGTACTGTTTGCTGTTTGTTGCAAGGAGGCATATTGCTGGGAGGCAGATTTCTTCCCCTTATTTTCCTCCACAAAAGCTAGATGTGTCTTTTACTTTGGAGCATCTTATACTCCGAAAAATATGGTAACCTGCAATATAATAATAGGTAAGAAACATAAACCCACCATTTTCAACTGCAGACAAATAGGGGCAACACATGCCTACACATTTCCAGTTATCATTCAGGGCACATCACATTCTACAATATATATAGCCAAGTCTTAGGAAGCAACTATATTATTGCTGCTTTCAACAGTGTCTAAATACTATGCTATTTACAAACTTTCTTTCTATAGAATTCAGCCAAGAGCATACAGACGTCGAAGTTTAGATATGATGGGAGAAAAAATCAACTTAACATCCATAACTGAAAGGATTTAGTAGAAACCTGCCTGCAAAAATAATATTTCCTTCACAGAATTTTGGATATAACAGGAGGACTCTTTTCAGTTAGCAAGATTTTGATTCTAAGGAAGAGAAAGGGAGGGAGGGAGGGAGGGAGGGAGGGAAGCATTAAACAAAACATAGTATTTATTTTATGCCTATTTTTAATGGAGACAAATACGAGTCATGTTCTTGCCAGCAAATATTTTGTAAATATGAAAATATGCTTCTATAAATAGTATATTTATATGCAAAATTCACTACTTTATATATAGAAGAATACATTGATCCAACCAGACTTTAGAAATGACAATTTTCAGAAAATCGTTTGGTAATATTTTTATCTCTCCTTTGGATCTTTTCCACAGGAGACATTTTTCCACATTAAAAATCCATGTCACTGTCTGATACGATCAAAATTATTTGCAAATTTTAGAAATAGCTACACTTGTAGCCATGACTGCACTTATGCTACAAGTAGTGTTAATCATACCTATGTCTTGTGTCCATATGAATGATTCCATATTATGTAGCATGAAAATATGTATTAATTTCTTGCCTCAATGAATTAACATCTCAACATAAAAGATTTTTTTCTGTTTTATATCCAGAATTTATGAAGCCACAATGCCTTTGTAACATCTGAGAATGACTGCAGTAGCAAATTTACAGGGGTTGGCTTTGAAACGTATTCAGAAATGTCAACTGGCTAAGAATGCCTTAACCAATCATTGACCTTACCACAGCTTCACCGGCTATCTGAACTATTCTGATGTAACTGCTTCTGACCTGAAAAGTTCTACATCCCTTGGGATTAGATAGTCTGAAATATTGTTTGTCCACTACATAGTACATCACAGGAGTGTTGACAAGTGGATGTGAAAAGAGCTCCCAAAATAGTTGCCTTCTACTGTGAAATAAGTATTCAAATAAACCCTACTCTTTACTTGGAATGATTATCTACTTGTGTTCCAACTGATATCACTCCTATAAGCACACATCAAATGTTTACTAGGTACATCTAAAGATTCCCTTCATTTTTATATATATATAAGTGGTGGCACTTGAAATAATATTTCTTTAGACAAAGTCTCTTGATCTGAATATGTACTGTGCACAGATCAGTTATTAATTAATTTATTCATCCATCCATCCATTTAACTTGATGACCACCCTTCTCACAACACCTGTGAGTGGCGCAGAGTTCTTTTACTCATAATCCAGAGTAAAATATAAATTGTGTGTTTGATGATAAATACATAAATGAAAAGTATGTATCACCCAAATTTTATCAAAAGTTTATAATTCACATAACATGTCTTAGCACAGTTCAGCCCCTCAGTGCAATTTCTTAACATAAGTATAGTTTGAAACAGTGCATTGCTGGTCCTTGTCTTAAAGATCCTGCTTGAGGACTCCATGGATATGTTATACTGTACCAGGTTTCCTCTATTCTGAAAAGCCATAAACAGTAAGTATGGTTATAATTCCTATAAGTCTTGTTGGGAACTTGCATCTTTAGTTTTACAGGATTTAGTGCCATTAAGTAATTAACATACAGGATCTTGAAGAAGATACAAAAAGTAAAATGGATTATCTTTACAGCTCCAAACTTTTTTTTAGTTTACACAGAATTACTGGCAGTTGAATTTAAATTATAAAAATGAACAAAAATGAAATTACTTTGTGAATTATATGAGCCATCTTTTTTAACACAGCTCTTTTCCAAGTTTTAAAAACTCTTTTACAGTTTTAAAAAAAGAGATGGACCATTAGCAGTCTCCTTGTACTCCTATTATACATAATGGTACCTATCATTATCTTCATTTTCTCTCTAATTTTATCTGATTTTGAATGTTGAGGGATGGTATCACCAAATGCATGTTGTCATTTTGGCATCACTGTGATTTGCCTCGGGTTCTACTGCAAAGTATAAATGCATAGAAGGAAAAATCTGGGCATATGAAGCTAGGTAAAAGACAAAATAGTACCTAAGTCCCTTGTGTTTTTCATAATCAAAATAGACAATTAACAACTGAAATTTTGTGCTAATGCAATTTAAAGCCTCCAACTAAAGCATCCATTCTCCCCATTACTGCAGCTATAATTACTTTCACAGAAACAAAATATATTTTGGAGAAACTATCAAGGTCAGAAAGTATCAAAGTCAGAAAGGATTAAATTAAGATATTTTAGCTTTCTTTCATCTGTAATTCTGAACTGAGAAGGAAAGTTATGTTATTAAGATTGAAGGAATACAGAACTATACTTTGCCTCCAGGCAGTAAATATTATATGCCTTTAAAAATGACAAAAGCTACTGGCTTGCTCATTTTGTTAACTTATAGGTCTGTGCATGTCATGCCAAGAAATGTTTCCAACAAAAGAACAACTGACATTGCACACATTTGCATTTTATTGTCACATTAACAAATAATTTGATCCACTATATTATTTGTTTGCAGAGTTCTCACTATTGCTCATCTCCAGGTATTGTGATATAATGACAAAATGGAAGAAAACTAAACTATGTAGGTAAGAGATTGAAAGGTTTTATATAGAACCAAGAAAATGCAGATTAAGACATATTGCAATGCAAATAGGGAAGTAAGGGAAAGGAAGACCACAAATTTATTGGAGTTGGGTAGTGTGGGCTGAAACAGCTTTTCATAATTTTAAAAAAATAAATCCCATTTTGGCCATGGAAAAAATAGGAAATTCAAGAGCAGTTGGAAAAAAAGAAACTTGCAAAACTTAATTTACTTCTAAAAGGACTTGCAGTCCTTTAAAGATTAACTCACCAGAAATCCAAAATCCAAACACTAGTGCTATCCCCAGATAATGCAGCTTTTGCTTATTTTCAAAAATACATTAAAGATGCAGCCAATTGTGATAATTTATTTAAGGTGCAGGAGTATGGTAAATCTTGGTTCTTTTTCCCCACACTGAAGGCTGTTAGTTCTTAGCAGCCAAAATTGCTGCCATGAATCCTAAGGATAGTAAATAAATAGACTACTTGAAGGATGGCCTCTAATTCTTCACGCAGGGTGTTAAGAGATTTCCCAATTCCTTACTTACATTCTTAAATTCTAGACAGTTTACACCTAAGTATTTTTAGAAGGCTATTCCTTCCATTTGTATCTCTGAAACAGAATGAATAAAATTAGCCCATTCTGCTTAAAATTCCTAAAAGCTGCCAAATAATTTGCAACAATCTAAGGCCAATTTTCATTAACAGCTGTTCCAGTCTAGGACTCATCTTTCCACACATTACTTGTTAGGATAATATTTTAAAGCAATGACAATCAATTTCTGGGTTTCCAGAATCTGCTGAGCCATTTTGGCATTCCTCACTACTGATTATGCTGGCTAAGACTGCTGGGATATTGTTAGATCAGCAACTTTTAGAATGCCACATGATATCTAATCCTATCTTTTAGTACATAGGTCAGCTAAAGTCTAGCCCATTGCATCATAACACTTTCCTCATTCTGGAAAATCAGCTAAAATTATAATTCCCTAGATGTCTGAGGATGATAGCTAATAATATCCCTGGCCAGCATACCTGATAATTCAGAGAGCCATAGATCTACATACTTAAGACTGTTCATTTAGTGACTATTCAAAGTTATGATGGTGCTGAAAAAAGTAATTTATGACTTATGATTGCAGTCTCTATTGTTACAGGTTTGTGATCTAAGCATTTGATAACTGCCTTGTATTTACAATGGTTGCAATATCAAAGGGTGACACAATCATCATTTGCAACTTCATAACAGGTTTCCAATAGTCAAAGTCAATGGAGGCAAAATCACACATATTCACATGATGACTCACTTAATAACTGCATCCTTTGTCATAAGTTCTAGTCCCAATTGTCATTATAAATCAAGGCCTACCTATACCGTGGTTAAAAGGGCAATAGGCTGTAGAACATTGTCCGATGGGCATTAAGCTTTCGACAAGTTTAGCATCTTAGTGAGAAGAAAGAACATTCTGACCTTTTTCCAGGACTGGTATGCAAGTAACTTACCGGAGTTACCTGATGGTAAATACCAAGGGCAGCTCATATTCACATAGGTGCCAGGAATACCATCAGGCCAGCAGACATAGTTGTCAAAAGTCCTGTTGCAAAACTTGCCTTCTATGAACAGAGAATAATTTAGAAGAAGTCAGCAGAGGAAAAACCCCAATAAATAACATTGTATTACATGTATTATTTTAATTATTTCACTTTTAAAAATATATTTTCAGCCTGTTTTTTTATCATTAAATACCATTTCAAAGCAGTAAATTGAATTTTAGAAGGAAACATTTAAGATTTAACCTTACAAATAAATCTCAAAATTCAACAGCTCAAATCCTCAATTAGATTTTTAAAAAGCCAGTTAAGAATTGCAGGTCATGGCAATGGCACATTTTCCACTTGAAATTAAATCTTTTTCAGAGACTTTGTTCTGACATTTATAGTCCTACTATCAATCATAAATTACTACTGTAAAAAGGAAGCATATACTGCACAAATTGTTGCAATATTGTTTACAGCACAACTGATAAAACTTCAAATTCGAAAGCTGTGGATTATGTTTATATTTATATGTTCAGAATGAATCTTAAGAATTAAACCAAATATTTGTCTTAGACTGACTATTTTACTGACAAAGTGAAAATTACCCTATTAGATTTAAGTACACTAAATTAAAATTAGACATTGTTAATCATCTAAGAATATTGCACTACCTCTATATCATGGACTAGAAACTGGCCAGTGTGTGTGTGTATGTGCATACTGTATACACGTACATAAAGTTGCAACAGATTCAATAAATCACAAATTCTTATGGTTTCATCTGACAAACAGAAACCACATGATAATGACTTAAACTGATAAGATTATGGGTATGGTGAAGAAAGCAACTGCTTTCATTGAGACCACCTAGATATATTCCACTCTGTCTTGCTTACAATATGTAATACCTGGCATTGTCTTACTGGCCTATCAAATTATTCAGAGAACTTCATGTGTTTGTCCTAGACAGATCTTTTGTCATGTTGTTTTAAATTGTAAATGATATGATTGACACACTGCAGAAATTCCCACTCAAAAGACCATCATGCAGCACTATTCAATATGTTAAAACTACAACAGGATTTATTAAACCATGACAGTAACAGTATTAGCTGCTCAAAATGATAAAGTGAAATTAATTCCATCTGGCTATTATTATTACAAGTAGGGGCAATTTTCCATGGCTTTTTCAGGCAATGCAATTCTGAGAGGGAGCAATGAAAAAAAATGGTTCAGAATCAGATCTAAACATTTATCTTTATGAATTGATTAGATTCAGACATAAAACTAAATGCTATAGGGATGAAGGCTTTCCTAAAAATCAAAAAAAGATATTGTTTCTAATGCCTTTTATAGCTAAAATTACCTTTTATAGCACACACACCCCCATTTTTTTGTTACAGCAAAATATGCTTTTAATGATGTTCAATAGTAGTTGTGAGAAAGTGTACAAATTGATCTTTGTTTGAAGGAGCATTTGGCAACATTTTTAGACAATATTCTGTAGCTCTCCGAAGTTGACTGATATGTTTGTGGTTGCCATATATTAAATTTAAGAAGCCCTACCTTCCACAAGAGGGGGGGTGTCTCGGAGATACTTTAAACACTGAAGCCGATATTCTTCCCAATTTTGCTTTAGGGAGGGAAATGAAGAATATGGTTTCTGAAAAGAAAGAAAATGAGTCAGTTAAATCCTATTATCCATTATTTTCCCATAATATTAAAGCAACTATTTATCATGTGATTATCTCCTCAAATTCACAACTGGAAATTATGAACTAGTACAGAGACAATGAGTAATTTATGTTCAACAAAATACTATACTTGGCTACATTTTGCTATAGTAATCTTGTCTATGCTACACCTTTCTAACGGTAAAGGAGGAACTTGATATTAACAATCATTCTTAATTTTGCTTATTGATAGCCAGTTCCAAATTAATTATTCATGACTTGTTCCTTCATGCATTGTTTTGTTTGCATCTGACATGATTTATTATAATTACACACTGACTCCAATATGCAGGGGCTTCAATCTTCTTTAATGAACAGACTACCCTTTCAAAATTACAAAATTGCTAGATATGTTTGACAATAACTCACAATACAGATGCAAACTGAAGTATTGTTGAATGTGATAAGAGCTCTGTATGGTGTTAAATAAATGGAATGCTTAGTAAATGGTTGAATAATGAGTAGCACAATTATTATATGTATGATGTCTTTTCCTTTGTTTATTTATAGACAAAAGTATATAGAAAGCTCATGGTAATCCCAATGTATGTTTGTTGGGGACATAATTGTACTAATAATATTTTAGTACATATATGATACCATGGATAGATATAGAACATACCTACAAAAATGCTTATGGAGCAGTGAATTTGGATACTGAATTTGGACAAACAAGATGTGCAATAATCTCATAAACAGTTGGCCCTTATAGAATGTGCTAGTTCATATCATTATGACAAACATGACCTGTATGTTATTTCAAACTGAATAGGTTGAGACCAGTGGTGGATTTCAATTTTTTGTAGAACCTCTTCTGTAGGTGTGGCCTGCTTTGTGGGAGTGGCTTACTGGCCATGTGACTGGGTGGGTGTGGCCAACTTGTAAAATGTGATGAAATTCACTTAACAACGCTGTTCTTTAGCAACCAAAATGTTGGCTCAGAAACTCTGGCATTGAAGCGTGCAAGTCTTAAAGCTATCAAGTTACAAGACCCTTGCACCCCTAACCCTTTAGAAAACCCCATGGTTGTTCAAACTTGACAGCTTTAAGACTTGTGGACTTCAACTCCCAGAATTCCTCCGCTCGCTCTTCATCTTGATGATGTGCGGACGGGCAGGGGGAGGAAGGTAGAACCGGTTCTAAACGGCACTGTAGATTTGTGGAACCACTTCTATAGAAGATGTTAGAACTGGTAGGAACCCACCCTTGGCTGAGACATAGAATGAAGTTTGAAAAGACATGTTAAAGAGGGAGAAGCTATAGCTGTCACTTCTGGGTAGAATGTTTGTGATAAAAAGAAATTTCTTGCCTAGAAATGTCTAGGCAAAACATGTCTCAGACAATACTTGTTTGATAATTGATGTACCATTTTAAACAGTGGCAGAAGAACATTTTTAGATTTGTATGGTGGGGGGGAACCAAGAGTTAAATGGGGGTATAGTTATCAATGGTTCTCTTATTTACAATTAATAGAATGGTTTAAAGTGGGCAAAGAGTTCTTGGCTTTGAACATTGTTTGAAATAATATTACATACAAATAATGAACATGTAGTTATAAAAATTTAAAATAGAACAACAAGTGAAATAATGTATGATCAAGTAGGCTAAAGTTTTTTGGTCATAATGTACAGATGTGACAAAAGGAAAATACGTGGTTGAGAGGATTTAAATTTAGGCTTTTTTATAATAATGTATCTATATATATATATTATATAGATGAATTTTTATATTTAAAAAATAATGTATATGTATATATATATGTTGCATTTTTGCTGATAAATAAATAAAGGGAGACTAGTATAGATCTATTTCAAGCTATTTAGCTCTCATCAGCTAGCCATACCCTTACTGGGATTAGAACCTGTGCTGTATTGCATTTTAGGCAGATGTGTTAACCACTAAGCCACAGGATTCTCTAATTACATACCTACTCCCTGGCTCAGCTGATAAGGAGAAGAATCCTGTGGTTTAGTGGTTAACACATCTGCCTAAGATGCAATACAGCACATGTTCTAATCCCAGTAAGGGTATGGCTAGCTGATGAGAGCTAAATAGCTTGAAATAGATCTATACTAGTCTCCCTTTATTTATTTATCAGCACAAATACAACACAAATGTAACAAAGGCAACAGTAAAAATATTGGGTTTCTGTCTGGATGGTCTCTTGTGACGAGCCGATGGACAGAGAATGGAAGCAGTAGACTTCCTCCCATATTTGGGCATACCAGGGGGATGTAACTCTAATTACATATATATGTATATGTAAAAAAACTCTAGAATGTATAAAGGCAATTCAAATTTCTGCTGGATATCTGAAGGACAAGAAGGGGCACTTTATTATGTTTGGAGGTTATATAGAAAGGTAATCTGTTGGATTCAAATTAATACATTGATGCAATGGATTTTAAAGATTAATATATACTTGAAATCAGAGGTTTTTCTTTTGGGGTTGATGGACAAACCACTGGGGGGGGGGAAGTTTGTTTTTGTATCTGTAAGACGATTACTTTGTACATAAAGAAGGAAAAATTCAGTGCTATCCACAGTGGAGCAATGGTTGAGTGAAGATGATAAATTTTTCTAAGATTACTAAATTGATTTGATAAAAGATAATTATTGCTGACTGAAAATCCTGCATGGTTTTTGTGTGTGTGTAAAACACAAAAAAAAATTGAACATATGATTTATAGTTTTGATGATTGGACAAGATAGATTACACCAAGAAGACAAGTTGTAACCATAGAGTTAGAGCTTCCAAACTGCTACCATTTCATAGCAATTCATACAGTGAAAAAGCGTTAGTTTTGACTCCTTTTTATTAAATATTTTGCAGTACAAAGAATACATAACTTTGATATTATCTGAAAATGGGAACATCATTTCAAAAGAAATTAATCTGATAACTTTTTTTACTAGAATAACAAATGATAACATTTTGTTACATTTTTCTATCTTTTCATCACATACCTTCTAAAACAAAATTCTATAAAACATGATAATGAACTGTAAAATTTACAATCCTTTAAATAACTAATGACCCATCTAAACTATCTTCCTTGTACTCAGGATAGTTTGGGTAGCACGCTCATAAAACCATCAGCAGAAACCTAATTATACAGAATCTACCACTATAATGCTGATATATCTCCTGACCAGAGTTATTGATACAAGTGTATATCCCCAAGCAAAGATTAATAGCTCTTGTAGTTGTATCCTGATTGTATGAATTTGGAGGAGGACTGCAGTGATTTTGCATATCCATTCTTTATTTCTGGCAAAAAAAAAGTAGAAGAGAGAAAAACAAGGCATTCCTTGGCATATAGTTTCCACAATTTAATTGAAAAAGTTACATTCACATGTCATACATTATATATAAATATAGAATATGGTGGTTGGGCACTATCCAAGCTGACACCAGCCAGAGCACAGAACATCTCAAATAATTAGTGTAAGTTTGAAAGATGTGGAGAGACCCTGGCCCATAGAGTTGGACACAACTGGATGGATATCATCATCATACCTGGTAATTCTCTCTCTCTGTGGGATAACAAAACAGAGGGAAAGTCTGCCAATCTTACAAAATTTTCTTTCTTAGGAAATGCAAATGGACCCTTCCTTAATAGCATTTTCTAAATGAGATCAATCCTAGTTAGCTTGAAGATGATTATATTGTAAGATGGTTAATTGACAAGCCCAAAGGACTGTTCTGAATATTTTTGAAGTACACACAGGGTTACTATTTGTATTTTGAATGTAAGAATGTAGTTATGGTTAGCTAAACAATACTGGTTAACACTTCTTTAGGCAGAGATTTCAAAATTATTTTCCTCAAAATGTCAGATTAATCCACCTGTCTTCAGATTACATATTTAAGCACAATATGCAAGTCATAACTGAGCAAAAGTTCACTGTCTGTTCTAGTTGAGCTTCTCTGGTTTTTGGATTTAATCAACTGTCCTATTGGTTTTACTTTTTCATATGTTTACCATTTGCTTACAATTTATTATTAGCTGCATGAAGTTCTACATGAATGAAAGACAGGGTAAATATTTTAATAAATGGCATTCATTTTTGTTTAAGAAAAATGTTAACATTTAGGTCCTTTCAATTCCATTATTCTGAAATTCAATTTTACAGAGGTTTGTCCTATTTGCATTTATCCTACTACTATACTCTGTAAGGATTTAGTCTAGTTTAAATATGTATAAAATTTTATGACTGACTGCAAACTGTAGTGTCTTCTTTAATTTGGAAGGGCTACTTTCAACATTTTAGCCCTGCTCATCTCATTGAGTGTTTTATAGTGCTTCTTTTTATATTCCAGAAACATATTTTTAAATTGTCTACATACACTGTACATTAGAAAGGTACATCACTTATTCTTTGTATACTGATGTGGCTAATTAAGCACTGAAACCAAGACCACTGCCCTCCACAGAAGTTAGGTTACTGTTAAAAAGTGTGAATGTGAACATTGCTTTCTGCTATGCATTTCTGTATTTCTCTGAACGTAACTGAAAAAAGAAGCAACTGAAAAGCCGCTCTTGTTCATCCTTCACATACTTGGAGAAGACATCGGGGGATAAAGGAACTGTTTTTGTGTAACAGAGAAGCCAATGTTATTATAAGCCATTATGATCAATTACAAGGGTGCTCTCAGAGAATCATAACAGGCAATTCAACCTATGTTACACAACATGCACATTTATTAACTGCCTTTATTGGTATAGTTTTTAATAATAATTACTCTCTTTATCTTTATAATGCAAAGTTCTCTGCTGTGAGTCTAATCCTTGGCAGTATAATTCCTGCTGAGATGTGAATTGCAACTGTGGATCCGATTTGGGAATTACAATTGAGAACAATCATATGTAGCTCCAGTAAATTGTGGGCATATTTAGATTTTTAAAAATAAAATAAAATGTAATAA